CCAGAAAGCAGTTGTACAAATGCGAAGGGAGCTGTGGCAGAATGTCTTCATGCTTGCAATGGCAGAATGTCTTCATTTATTCAGAATGTCTCGAGAATTACATTTACTTTGGAGATAATGAATTCAAGACGTATGCAATCGTTAATTCAGCTGATTGCATTTCCGGTTCTGAGGTTACGTGGAAAATGATGAAGAGCCTCTTGGCATGTCAACTTCATCGTAACCAATTTGATATGTATTTAACCGTATGCATTTGCCGTAAACGTTATTCAGACGACGAAGATGTGTTTGTACCATTAAGAGAGGTGATCATATCGTTGAGGTGTGATGCAAGAGACGAATGAAATGTGTTAGTTTCTCGTAATATTCAATGTCACTGAATCTTTCATTTTTGTTTAATCTCATACGCCTCAAATTAAGCGACGTGTTTCCCTTAGATTCGTTATTTCTTCACTTAAAGCTGCTTTCAAACGCCTTATTTTTGTGCCCTTCATTGCCACCTGAATACTAACAGAGGTGAAGAGAATTTGATTGGCGCTTTGTTGTACGCAAAATGCACGTTAGTATTGTTAGCACGATAAATTCGCTGTTCATTCGTTTATCGTTTACTCATTAAAATTATTTATTCCGGCTTCATCTTGCAGATATCTGGTCGAATTATTGTTGTTATTATTATTGCCGCTGTGTGGTGGCTGAAGAAACGTGTAATCGGCCACAATAAATCGTTGCATATTGCTTTTGTAGATCCTGGTTTGCCTACTCATAATGACTGCTCCATGTACCGATGATGGCTCAGGAAGTTGCTCTCAATCAACATCATCGTCGTCAACATTAACGACAGCTTCTGTCGAGAATTTCAGTTCCGGTCACTCTTCATCCTCCCCTCCACCAAAACGACTGAAATCTAGACGGTCACTTGTTTTCCATTTATTGTTCATGTAATTCTTTATTCATTTTTAGGGAAAATTTAATTTTTCAAGGTTTCATTGATTCATTATTGAATCTTTTCATGATAGACTTCAAATGTTTCTTATCATTTCCCTATCTATCATCAAGTATTTGCCTCATTCATCATTTTCAGGTTCATCAGTTCTTTTATCAGTTGGGCAAACTCATTTTAATTGTTTCAAAACTTCCCTTTTCTGCTCAAAATAGAATTCCGCTCTTTATTTACGATTATTTCGAACAATCGATTAAGACCTAAATTTGATGAAATGAGATTTAGCTTTTTCCTGCTCCGCATTCCTTTCGTTTATTTGATTCAGTGATAACACTTACACATCAAATTTCATGTTTATGAAGTGAAAATTCAAAGAGATATTTAAGTTTCAGATTACGAATAGTGCCAGTTCTACGCGATAACGTTTGTGCTGAAGAATTACCACTTGAAGAATATTTTGCCGTTGATGTCACAAATCGTCAGTTAATTGGCGCACTTCTCAAGCTGTTACCGTCAATGCCGAATGCGATGAACCACTTGAAACGTATCAAAGATGGTCGCGTTCTCATTCAGCAATGCAGTACGCCCTTACCTGATGAACTGCTGCAATCAATTCGTAATCTTCTCCAACAAGAAACCGCTTTAATCATCGAGCGCGTTCAGGTGCCCTCAAAGAAACCTTTCACAAGACGTCAATTCGAATGGGCAAAACAGCGATGGCCCACTGCGTTTCATCCGAATCAAGAAGTTGAAGCACTTCTGCATGGAACGTTCTTCAGTGATGATGAACATCGCAAAATATTCGATTTCTATTCAAGAGCTGAACAAGTGAGTTTCGTCCTTGAGGATATTTCTTGTTGATAATTGTCACCTGATATCTGCTAATACGCCTGTAAGATTATATCTTGAGATTTTGGGTATGGGAATCCTAGCGCATTAAAAATTATACAGCTGCTTGCCACATTTTGTTTGGAAACTCATCGAGACTCTTTTTGGTGTTGTTTTTTGGTATTCTTTGATTTACGGATTTGATGAGTGTATTTCGTTGACAACGATACAGGTCGATGGGTCTGTGATTAGCAGTCCAAAAAAGTTGATCTTGTTTGTTCTGAAATAATTCTATCTTATGTAACAGTTCAGATTACAACCGCTGGGTTTGTTTTTAGATAGGCGACGGCGATAGTGGTTGTGTGATCGTTGATGTAACGGGCAAAGTAGTAGCTGAAAGTGGAGTGCGAGCAAAACCACTCGGACATGCTGTGATGTCTGCGGTCGAAGACTTATGTGAGAGTCATCGAATACAAGGAAGTGAGTTAGCTTTTTGAATTTGTTCGAAATTAATGAGACTGATTGACTCTCGAGGTCATCCGTCATCATCGTCACCTTACTGTTTTGCAGTGCTAATTTTGTTGTGTTATGGCTGCGAATGCTGTGATACGAAAACTACTTACAGCATTGTCATTACTGTGAAGAGATTTACCGAGAATATTCAATCGCGAATTGTTGACTCGCTCCTTCGGAAATGTTCATCTAAGAATGTGTCTTTTTGATTGATGAATTGTGCACCTTCATATCTCCAAAAAATTATCCTCTCGGTTGCATCTACTTATAATTGGTTTTTGTGATCTTGAGCAAGGTTGCTTTTTGTATCCGACTGATGTTTTCAGCCAAAATATTCGTATCCGATTGCACACTACTACTGTTCATTGAATGCCTAATTTGCAGGTGATGTATTGCAATATTTGGGCACTGGATTTGATGTTTATTTAACACATGAGCCGTGTTCGATGTGTGCTATGGCGTTGGTTCATTTCCGAGTAGGTCGTGTGTTTTTTGGTAAATGTTCGCCGAAAGGAGGCGCTCTTCAGTCATCGTGGAGAATTCAAGAGGAAAAGCGTATCAATCATCATTATCGTGTATTTCGAATCGATGAAATCGACTAGCAGCGTGATTGTTCTTTGCATATTCTTTATCAAGATCTGAATAATATTTTCTTGTCTCTTTTTTTTCAATTTCTTTGTCAGTTCTCTCATTCAGAGCAAGATTTTGAGCGTNGGACATTCAGCACATTTCGATAACATACATCATAAAACTTGAATTCTGATTAGATACCTTTCTTTTTGGTTTTGTTGATGTGTTATCATCTCTTGTAATGGTAAGATATTTGACATTTCAATTACACATGAATACGTGACCATATTTTGAAGATATATTGTTCTCTTAACGCAAATGTTTTTATTGGTTCCACAGGGGGACTACTCGAAAAAGTTCATTTTGTTCTTCGTTTTATCACTATTTTGTAGTTGCCAATCTAATTGATCCTGTTGTGATGATTGAGTCTAATTGAATGATACTGCAGTCAGTGATATCAATAATGCCTTTAATTGTTCATATTAATAATCTTATCAATAATAATATTAATAATACCTTATTGTTACGTACTTTTATATTTTAAAACTCCTGTCACCATATACGATAGAACAATCTTGAATGTCCCTTCCAGAATTTTGAACAGTCTCAGTGGTTTTCTTATGATGTTTACCTCCGGATCCGAAAAGTTTCATTTCCGAACAGTCTCATGTATTCTGCTGCGTTGAAATTCATTTTGCATGATTAGCGTTGTTACGTTGCATTGTTTTCGTTGTTATAAATTTCGATGGTGATGAATTTGGAATTGTTTTCCGTATATTCCAAAAAAGTTTTTGGCCATTCCACAGATTTTCATTTTAAAAAATAAATCATCAAATCTACTTTTCTTCGTCCGCTTCATAAAAATATCGCCTCAAGCAAATGGCATTTGAAAAGTTTTTATTTTTTCGTAATTCTTCATCGTCGTCTGCGTCCTGTCACTACAATTCTGGAAAGGCCGTTCGGTTTGAGGTTCATTCCCGTGTGGATACGCTTGTGCAACCGGATCATTCCTCTGCGGAGTCATCGTCACTTTCAGCAGTGCTCTTTCAGATAATAACACTAGCATTTCAGCGTGCTTTGGTTTGCATCAAACGGAATGTTTTCATTGCAACAAATTAACGTGTGAATGTATAGTTTTGCGTTGTTGTGAAANACATTAAACATTTGGCTAATGTTAAACGATTTTCGAATTTTGATAAGTTTTGTACGCGTGATGTTCATTTTTGGAGTCTATTTTCGATTCGTTTCATGAGCGCGTTCAGACAATTTGATATCGTCAAACAACAAACATCCCATGTGTTTGAAAGGTGACAATAGAAAAGTGTTGTGCATTTAGAATTGCGTAAATTTGAAACGCCAACTGATGAATTGTTGCGTTGAGTGAAGTGCTATGAATGATGCTGGGTTTACAATACACAAACAGTTTCGTGTGTTATCGATCGATGATAATGGTGATTTATTGATGAATGTCAATTATGATCAATTGACGGATTCAATTTCTCAAATATCTCGACGCATCAACTCATTGAGAAACTGTTTAATTGCCATCACTCTACCGAAACATCCATCACTGATTGCAGTTATTATTGCGTTAGTTTTCGCCACCTTAAATAAGTTCTCAGTTTCCTTGCTTTTCCAACTATCAAAGAAACATCCCATTATGAGTGGGATTCATTCGGTCAATTCGATGTCCCTTTTCCGCTTATAT